TAATTGCGGCTTCCGTGGAGGCACGCCTCCCTCGCGTAAATCAAGACATGCCGTCGCGATGAACGTCCTGGGGACCGAAGAGGAGCATCAGGGGAAACGGGAGAGGGGTACGGAGGGGGGAGAGCTTTAAGCTTTACTCTCGCTCACTCGTTACGCGTCACGTGTGAAATATTTATACCGACGCTTCGTTTCCATCATGCTTCGTTCGCGTAAGAACTCGTAACAACGTAATTTCAAGGATTTACAAATCCTGAATAATTTTACAGGCGTACCCTTTCGTGCGTGCGCCCATGTAAATTGCGAGTCGTAACGAGGAATACGGACGACGGAATTAATGGTAACCAGCGGCTAACGCGGGCTTGTTTAATCGTTCGTATTTATATAATCAGACGACGCAGACGCAAGCTCCGTGCTTGGACCTCGGGGACAGGTGACTCCTTGCGCGATTACGCTGGCTGGTCAGTCAATTTGTAAGGGAGCTGAAACTACAAGATCACGCTGGTCGATGATGGGTGGTTAACTAAGTTGAGTGCCGTGTGGTCTCGGCCATTTGTTGGGAAATTTGCGACTCATGAGCGTGGCGATTCTCGTCACATCTGGTGTACGACAGAGGGAGATGACATTAGTTCGTGTTGAGGACTGTCTTAATATTTAATAAAAGGAACTACAGAAATTTTATAGTGACGGTATATAGGCTATGTTAGAAAGGTGAGAAAATGTTGTAAAATGACCGAGATTGGTTTTTTGTATAACATTTAAGAGTATGTTTCTTTTATTAATTTAGTAGCAGAAATAATAAAGTAGCAGAAATATAAGTAGCATACACTTTTAGAACGATCTAATAAGTTTGATCACTTGCTTGCTTGGAGGGAACGATGGAGACTAAGATTGAAAATATTTTGAATTTAAGAGGGTGTATTTATGGAGAACATAGCGAGTGAGATTTTCAGATACATGGGAACTGTAACGAGAGAAGAAAACGAAGAACCATAAGGAACCCAAACCAAATTTCTATTCCTTTGGATACCCCACAGACCTACTCTACGACACTGCAACCCGATACATATATCGATTCCACGTCCCACCGTTGGGTCGCGACCCGCAGGTTGAAGAAAGCTGCCCCACACGGACACGGTGTTCGACAGTCAAGGATCGTAATTTAGAAATTAAATCAAACGACCGAGGAACGAAAATCCCCCATCGGGTTTGTCGGTGTAGGTCGTTACACTGTGCACAGGGTAGAGTAAATAATTTCTACAATCTTTCCACCGACGATAACTTACGGAACATAAACGAGCGGTCATAATAAGCCACGCCAGGGCGTGATTTATTGCTCATCGAAATACGTATTGGGTGTATATCTGCCTACGTGTCTAAACGGCCGTGCAATTACAGTTATATCAGATGGAGACTGGTTTCCACTCCCTGAACGTCATCCGTCTCGAGGCACACCGTTTACTTTATCGCTTACGCGAGTAATATAATTTCGAATCCGTCGGGGGAGGGGGGGGGGGGAAGGCGTACGAGCGATGGCCGTTCCTTCTTGTTAAACAGGAGAAGTTCATCCAATTTCTATGGTAATTTCCCTGGACAGGCGCGAACAATGCGATCGCCCCGGTGAAATCCGACGAAAAGGAATATAAAAAACAAACAAAACAATCGGGAGGGAAAAATTAATTGGAAAATCATCCGACGGTCCCCGTCGAAGATAACGATAAAACGGTTCACCTGGCTTTTGCGTTTGACAGATTTGTTTTATAACCGGAGGGGATAGCGCGCGTGCCCGACGATACGCAGCCTCGTCTCTGGTTGTATCTGCGCGCGACGCGATATTAGATCGTATATCGACTTTAAATATGTAACAGCGCGGCGGAAACGTAAAAAAAATACGATTGCGAGGGATGGATGGAAGAGTGCGCGGTGTGGATGTATCATTTGCTACTGGAAAACTCGATGCCCGATGCAAAACATGCGAAGCAGTCGATTGTTCTTTTTTTTGACATTAGAAATCATCATCAGAATTCAAAGGAACGTACGATCTACTGAGTTGCTTTTGTTTGAAAAATATCGCAGCGCCAGTATCATTATCAAGGTTTCTGTTTTTGCAAAGCGTCGACTAATGGCGCCCAATCAACTATCGCCGCTTTCAGCTTACGTTCCCGATCCACGACACCGATACAAGAAAGTTTCTCGCAATTTCGAATTACGGGGCGAAAACTGGCGAGTGTAACGCAACGTAATGGGCTGTCATTACCGAGCGCACGTGCAAAGGCGGACTTACCTCCTCTAATTGGACGTAAGCACGGTGATTTTCACGGGACACGTGAAATTCAATATTTCGATGCATAAGCATAGTCACGATCGAAGCAAGTGCATACTTTCCCGGATATTTATTATCGCGTGCCACCTTATCGCGCGACATAATCGAATTCGAGTGGACGACTGGCGTTTATATTCATGAAGCGTTTTCGAGAACTCGCGAAGAGCTATTCCTTGACGATGCTTAAATGCGATGCGATCATGCTAATATCTTGCAAAACGGTGCGATTTGGCATCGCCCATCCGGATAAACGAAATTTCAGTAATGAAGTGGAGAGGTGGAGAAGAATCGAGTCTTAAGGGGTGAAGCTACTAACGCATGAATATTAACTATATTTAACAATGTTTTTTTTTTTCTCAAATAGCCGACTCGATAGAAGATCTGTTTGCTAAGACGTAGGTAGAAACAAATAAACAAACATTTCCACCCAGTTTAAAGCTCCTTTTCAAAACAGTCTTTTCACCACCCTCATCCTCGGCCTGTCACGACCCGATCTGCGACATCCTGCGAGGCAGTGCCGTATCAAACTAATCTCGCAGCGCCATTACCTAGATACATCGATAACGAAACTCGCATTTTGCGTGGCATCGCGAGGAGCGAAGAAGATGCTCGAGCCGATCCAGGCAGCGGTGCTGCCCACGTCAGCGTAAAGCCCGAAATCGTTGGAAATTAAATTTTTCCTCGGAGGTGCCCCGACCACACGAGCCACAAATTCATAAGATTCAATATGCTACGCGAGCGAGCAGGTTGCCAGGCTGGGATGGGGCAGACTCTGCGACGATGCTCGGCGGGGGTTGGGGTCTACGTGGGTGAGAGGCAGTATTCAGGGAGGAGGGGAAGGCCGCAAACGGGGTACGTTTTATAGTTTACATCGAATACGTGCCCTTCTTCCGCAGGGCCTCGCGGACCAGCTACTTTTACACACACTCTTTCCTTCACCCTCAACCACCCCCTCCCTGGCCTGTCTCTGCGTCGCTGCATGTTTACCCCCGCGATATATATGAACTAATATCACGTGGCACGTGATGCCAACGCAGCGGCACTCGTGCGCGCCAACCCGCGCCCTTATTCGTCCTCTCTTCCCTATTGCGAATGCTGAGGATCGAAGATGTCGGCGCCACTGTGATGTTGAACGTGTTTTATTAACGCCTCGCGCTGCTACGTATACCTTACACCCTTATTTGCGAAGCAAGCGATCGTTCAGGGATAATATCCTTCGCATCGATCATCCATCGATCCAAATTTCACTACGATTCCACGGTCGCGTCGAATTCAAAGATCCTATCCCCAATTACCGTTCCTCATTTCCAAAGGAGAGGCGGATCGTTAAACGCAAACAACGAAATTCACTTCGATTCCGGGGCGATCACGAGCGCCTCGCGAAAACCACTATCTGCTTTCGTCGAGTCTCGCGCACCAACCCCCTCGTGTTGGTTACAACGGAAATAATGTCGGTGCACTTTGAAAGTCGGGGGTGGAACGAAGGGACGAGGATTCGCCGAGGAACGGGAAGGGTATGGCAAAGGTAAGGCTACAGAAGCCAGAGAGAGAGATCGGACGAGAAAGAAAGAAGGGCAGACACGTGGGTGGGGTACACTCGGAACGGGGGCGAGAATATTGGTTGACTTGTAATACCGAGAGTGGAGAAGGCAGGGACCCGGCGAATATTAAATATATTATTACATTCATTCTCATTTCCCTTTTACTCCCGGCATGCCCGCTCGCTCGCCTCCCCGTAGCAACGTCTTCGAGTTTACCGCGCGCGCAAACAAGCGTTGGATTGATCGTAATTGCGTTTCGAAAGCTCCGGAGGATTGTCACGTCGCGATTTACAGACCGTTCGAGGAAAGATGGAGTCTCGAGACGTTTATCGAACCGAGGTGGTTTCTTTCGCGGACGATACTTTAGGAACACGTAGCTGGATAGGTGGTCTCGTGGATCTAATAGCCCAGAAGAACGCAGGTTCTTGTGAGTTATCACCCTGTTGCTGTGTCTTTCGGCAGCTTTAAGGGTATATCTGGTGCGAGGGTAAAAGAGGTTCATTTCTATTTGCGACTTCTTAAACATTTCTAAGATTAGTTGCTTGCGATTTATTACGAAATTTGTAAAATTAAGGATTTTAGAATTCTGAATTGAGGCTAAACGCTAAGCTTACTACGATAATGGACGTAAACGTGATCAAAAAGAATAAAAAAAAAAAAGAACCGATGTGGATACTTCGAATCTCCATATAGAGTTAATCTACAGTGCGTTTTTCTTAAATTTTGTACAGTATGATGTAGGAAATAAATGTTAAGGACGATTGTTGCCAGCAGAGGATCCTCGAAACCCACGAAACGCTTAGACCACGGAAAGTATAACGGATTCGAGTGTGTGTATTCGGTGCAAACACCTAATCGAGGGTATTAAACGTAATTAACCACCCCTGCAAGCATGCAGCGCGGATACAGGGACAGAGGGACCATCGATGTATCGATCGATCGGCACGAGTACGTAGACGGCAAATGTGTATCGAGGCCCTTTCCATTAGCGTACCCAACGTACAACACGGTATCAGTCCCTCTTTTACCTTTACCCGTCGCAGTACCCTTTGTTTTCCCTCATGGGAAATACATCCTCTCCTTTCTAATTGTTTTGTCTCTTCCTATCGGTCTAGCCCTATAGAGCGAAGGTTACTCACCGATCTTTGACGTGGAGACCCTCTGCGCTGCCTACGGTAGCCGTCCTCTGAAACTGAAACGAGATAACACGGTTTTAGAATCGTCCAACATATGAACGCTCGATGCTAATTACCGGATCAATTTTAATAATCGTATTTCACGCTCTCCGCAGAACGCTACCATCAGACATGCTCGAAATGTTCGATTATCGGATGAAATCGTCGTGGTTGAAGTAAAGTATGTACCTATTGATCGGTAATGGTAGATGACCGGCGAAACACAATTTTGAAGTTTATCAAATGTATAAATTTCAAACTGAAAGTATTGGAAATCGTAGTGTAAGGTATCGAGATAAAAATGCTGCAAGAAATTTTAGTATTGAAGCTCTAGGTAAAGAATTTCGTTGGCCAAAAGTCCTATCAAACCGTCCACACTCTCACTCCCATTTCACGATCTCCTGAATTATTCCTCTTCCTACACGTTTCGATGTGAAACATTCTCAGGAACCTAATCCAAATAGAAATTAATACCTAATCGTGCCCAGGCTCGGTGGTGTCTCGATAGCATTAGCAGACACGAGTATGATCGCAACTGTCTTCGAAGTCACGACGCTCAATTTGTAAAAGCGACTAGATGTATTTTAGAAGGCGGTAATCGAACGCTGCGCGGCACAGCGCCCTGTTTACGGGCCAGGCAATCAGCTTAAGAGGAAAGCGTGCTCAAACGAGAGACGATTGCCTCAACAAATGTCAGTCCGTGCAACTGACTAATGCCTAGGAGCGGCGTGGCAAATGATGCAGCGCGTACTATTGGGCAACTCTCTCGCGTCGGCGTGTGTCCGACAGAGGGAAAAAAAAACAGAGGCTTTCCGTTCGATCCTCGTTCTTAATCTCCCTTGATGAACGAGAAAATCGTGCGCGAGAGGGGGGAATTAAAGGGAAACAATTTTTAACGAGTTTCGATCGACGCCGTACCCATCCGTTCGCGTAATTGCGTCCCGAGTGTAAAGCTACAATTACCACGGTTAATACAAGTAATAATCGTTACGGGTGATTTAGAACGCGCGGAAGGAGGACGAAGCTATCACGTGTCGGATGGCCATTGCATTTGTCGCAGAAACGAGGCGTGAATTTTCAAACGTACGTTTTAATGGACGCGGTCATTTAGATTTTGGCGGACTTACGATGGGCTCCAATTGCTCGGGGATTAGTTCGCCGCAATGAGATCCTTAACTGATCTCCGTTGATATTACGCGATATTTCAGCATTGTGTGCTTATGATAATGAAAATTAACGGTGCGACACGCAAGATACGCCCGTCTGTCCGCCTATTAATAAGCCCTAACTATCCTCTCGTCGATTGTACCATAAATCACTGTCACTCGATTATAGGCGCGATTCATCCGTTAGGCTTTTAATCAACGTTGCTATCCTCAACGCGCAATTACCATGGAAAGTAACGATGGAATTATTCCCTTTGTAAATCTACCACTTAACCGTACAAACAATGACATTTTAATCTGTAGAAAACCGATTGAATTAAGTAGATACATGAGTTGTTCCCGCGCAAAAATAATCCATTTTCCTGTAGGAAATACGTTACGAACTGAAATTGATTTAATAATTGGAAGAACCTGTTTTATTAGCACGAAATTGAGGAGCAGGATGTTCTCAGATCGAGAGAAGTCGCGCCGCTGGGTCGATTGGAATTCATAGGGTATCGCGCGAACTTTCGAATTTCCCCTGCAATTTCCCCTGCACGACTAGGAACGAGCAACGCGCGTAACGGAAGTGCGGGACGCGACGCGACGGAAATCGCGACGAAAATTGGTTGCACGCGGACTGGGATCGGTCGGTGCGTTTCGGTGAGTCCGGTGGCGAAAAATCGGGGGAATTCACGGGACAGAGGGCTCGTTAGACGGATGGATCGAAAGTCGTGAGACAAGTGATCCATCCAGTGATCGTAAAAACAGTTCCCAGATACAATAATAATATTATAATAATATTATAATTCCAAGTAGATAACTCTTACTTTCTCAGACGTTTGACAAAAACCCTTAAAATGTCTGCAATTCGTTCGATTCGAAGTCAATTAAGTGCTCACATCTCTATTTAAAATGAACTCTTTCCATCGCATCGGCGGTCGCGTGACGTAAAACCAGTACATTACCAGTCAGAACGCGAACGCAAACTCGTAACACGGGTGTAATGTGTGCAAACACAATTATTCGTTCTATCCGTTACGGAAACATTATGTTTAAATATATTACAATGTATCGCGACGCGGCAATCACGATCCGTTCCGGTTTGTTGACTTCCCGCATGATATAAATCAAGCTTCATCCGACATTTCGCGATCGAGCTCTGCACTCTTTCCTTCTTCACTGCGCCGCGGCGTGCTTTCCCGAAGCACCGTGCAAAAAAAAATAAAACATAAGGATATCTTACGACGTATGGCCGCGCACAGTGAACACCAGGCGGCATATCTGGCGTTTCATAATGCAAAACAATCTTGAATGCAATCCAACTCGATAGGAAGCTCGAGACGGGTAAAAATGAGACGTTCAGCTTTCAGACTTTATTAAGAACACATTACGTTGATGGATTTTAAGCAGACCTGGGTTACTATGAATAATCAGATTACATTTCTACTCGCCCTACTATCAATCATGTTTATTCTTATTTTAAGGGTCTAAGAAAATTTTAATTAACGTTCCATAAGTAAAATAGAATCCTTCCTACCGCTCAGAATTAAGAACTCTGCCAGGCCTTGTCCTATGCCATAATTTTCAAAAAGATACCCCTAACTATTGCTCCTGGCGCGTTCTCAAAAGGTGGTTCGATTTGGAAACGAGTAACGGCTCGCCAACGGCGACGTAAATCAAAAAGCAAAAGGAAAAAGGCTCCAAGTCGGTCCATTATAGGCGAAACGAAAACCAGTGTACCTTTCAATGATTCCGCTTTGCTTTTCGATTGGCTCGCTGCGCGCGCTTGATTTCGCGCCGGCGGATATCCCGGTGAAATCCGATAAACCGCAAAAGGCTATTTGTTAGAATGAAAAAATCACTTCCTCGTGCCCGGGCGCTGATAAACCCCGACGGATCGTATCGCTGGCCGCGATACGTCAAAACAGAAATGGCGTGAATTCAATATCCCGATTTCGGACTCGACGTACGCGCTCCGCCGCCCACCGGCCAACACAAAGACACCTAATCTCTCGCGCTCATTCTCACTCGTGTTCACCCTTTCCTTCCACCTTCAACCCTCCCTCGTCCACAGATTCTTTTGCAAAAATTCGAGATGCGACTTTGGTGAGAAAAAGACTCGCACTGTCTAGAAAATTATTTCTGGACTCCAGAAGCTTCAGTTCGAAATGAGACGAGTTTTGTAGGGAGGAGTGAGCATGAAGATCTCCTATTTTTTAAGGTGTTTTTAAATTACTTAAAAAGAGTGTGAAGAAATTCAAAGCAAGAACTTTCCAGAAGGTAACTTAAACATGTGAAGCTACAATCCATACCCTTTAAAGAACGAAATAAATAAACTTGGCAGTTCTCGAGAAAAGGTAGCCAAAGGAAGCTTTGAATCAGACCGAGCGATGAAATACTGAGCAGCCCTCGATGAGCCTGTCTGATATCTGTCCTGGTTGCCTCACAATTAGAATATCCTTCGATCAGCCAGTAATTTGCGAATGAAATTTTAAACCATTGGCATTTTTCTTTCATCGTTAGCTGGCTGCGCTCGACAACAAGGCATTACTTCACGTCCGCGGGTATAAATGTAGAACACCGACATACCGACGAGATCCACGTCGATAGGAGTGGAAGATCTATATCTGACAGTGGTGTATAACGGATCGAACGGCGCGATCGATCACTGGATCAGACGTACGACATCGACGGCGAGTCTGTTCACAGATCTCTCGAAAGAGTGACAGCCGGACGGGGTCAAAAGTCGTGAGATTAATCGCTGGAAACGGTGAATACAAATCAGCCGTCGAATAGTCACAAGATGGAGACGCGTTTGTCATCCTTTCGACTCTGTCTACTGGGAAAGGGAAGGTCGAAAGACAAAGGAAAAGTGACAAATTAAAAGGAAGGTACGTAATTGTAATTGGGTCGAGTTTATATATTTTATTTGCATGTTTTCCTAGATTCATTTTGCGATTCTATTTTAGTATTTAGTACTCATTATCAGATAATAATTTTCCTTGAAAAGTGCCCCACGGGGATCAAAGCATTAGCACTCTCCTCCATAAAATGGCAAAATGCAAAGTCCAATTTACTTCGGACGCTTCATTAATCCTCCTCAGTCCACTCCGTTGTTTCCAGATCTTTCAACCGATTAGCGGATAAACCACATAAATCAGGCTGCGTCTTGGCTGCGGGTTTATTAGATTTTCAGATGCAGCAACGATCTCTCGCATTGTTCCGGCACGATTATCGATCGAGGCTGGCGAAACCCAGCCATTGACACCGCGACGCTCGCCGCGTATAAATCTTGCTCCTATGAAGAAAGGTTTGGCCGCTTCGTAGTCTAATCTGAGATCGATCTTTCTCTTGTCAAGGTTGGTACCAGCGTCGGGTACTAGTTACCACCTGCCAGCCAACAATAGCCCAATTATACCCAGCGCTTGGCACCACGCCGATAAAAATGCGACTACCGTCTCGATATGAATCGTTTGGTGCGTCGGCAGATATGCCGATCCACAATACACTTACGCGGCCATTTACGCGATAATGCCACGGCGGGAGAGTAACGAAAAGGATGCATAATGCCGCTGCACAAGGATGCAACGGTCCTTTACGCTTGGGACCAGGAATGGGCAGAATGGAATTCCAAAAGTACGGAGCCTTCTAAGTTCCTATTTCAATTTATTTACACACTACTATAATTTACGAAGAGGAAATGTATTTCTAGATAACCCCAAAATAATCAAAATTACGACTACTTTATGTATTTCGATTTTAAAATTTACAAGTGCTAAGAATCGTTTTCAGTCAGTCTTTCCCTTAAAGGGGATGGTCCCATCATCTAATACATCAATACTAGTACATCTAAATTCTAACTCGTTAAA